CATTCAGGCCATCAGCATTTATATCATTTAAACAAATCTTTGAATGACTAATGAACATTTAATTTCACAAACCTTGCAAACTTAGTCGAATCCAGTTGTGAGATCTTGTGAAGTGTACATGTGCATCCTGCATGATCGCGTGTGCTCTGCGTGAATGCGGACAGGAGGAGAGTCCTGCTTCACTGGAGACGTGCGATCGACAAACTTTAAACTTGTGATTTTAAATTATGCTGCGCCTTATGCATTTGCCCACTGCCATACTCATGTCATTTCCACTGTGTGCTGTATGTAAAACGAGTGTTACCTTGGCTTTATTTGAAAAAATATGATTCCCAATGCACACAAACTTCCCAGAATACTGAGTGCCCTGTTGGTTACAGTGTTTGCTTCCTTTTTAATTACATTTTAAATATTTATTTATTTGTGAAAATACTTTGTCACCTAAAGTATAAGTATGTTTATTTTACACATTTATTTTTTAATCCATTTTAAAATTATTTCAAATTTCTTAAATATTAATTAAAATAAATACAATTATATTGGCTTTATATCGGCCATCCTGCTTTCCAAGATATCGGCATCGGCTGTCAAAAAAAACAATATCGGTCGGCCACTAATATTATTGCTGTTTAAAGGATTTTTTTCTATTTTAATATATTTCAAAATATAATTTATTCCTGTGATGGCAAAGCTGGATTTTCAGCAGCCAGTCTCCAATGTTTTCCAGTCTTGAATGTCACATGATCCTTCAGAAATTATTATCATATGCTGTTTTAGTACTCAAGAAACATTTCTTATAATTAGCCATGTTGAAAACACTTGATATTTCTGTGGAAACTGTGATGCACTACCATTCAAATGTTTGACACAAGAAAGAAAAAAAAAGAAAAAAAAAAAAGAAATTAATACTTTTATTCAGCATGAATGCATTAAATTGATCAAAAGGGACAACAAAAACATATATAGTGTTACAGAAGATTTCCATTTCAAATAAATGCTGTTCAAACTTTCTATTCATCAAAGAATCCTGAAAAAAACATAGCATAGTTTCCACAAAAATATTAAGCAGAAAAACTGTTTTCAATACTGATAATAGGAACCATTAATAAATTAGCACCAATAACAGTTGAGCATTAGAACAATTTTTTAAAGGGGTCATCGGATGCCCATTTTCCACAAGTTGATATGATTCTTTAGGGTCATAATGAAAAGTCTATAACATACTTTGGTTAAAATTTCTCAATGGTAGTGTAAAAAACACCCTTTTTCCCTGTCAAAATCAGCTCCGTTTTCAGCACGCTGTTCTAGTCCATGTTGCTTTAAATGCTAATGAGCTCTGCTCCCCCCGCCCCTCTCTTCCATGGGGTGACGAGCAGACTGTAAACTTCAGCCGCGAAACTGGCTAACTAGCACATTATTAGGAAAGGCGATTTGCAAATATTCATAAAAGACCCTTATACTCACTTCTTCTGTAGATGAACCTGGAACTTAAACGCATTTAGGCAGATCGGGGATCGGCGCATTCCCTTCCATCCAACAACAAAACACCTCAATCGCTTAGGAGACATTCTTGTCTTCCCCTGCACCGAAGTCGACACAATGGCGGGCTGATGACAGCTCACTCAGGGCGGGTCTAAGGAAAGACAACAGTCCAGTCTGTGCTGAAACGCTACTGTCAATCAACTATCGGATAACTGCAAACATAAGTGCTAAATTGAACAAACCTACCTTACTGCGTATATCATGCTCTGTCTTGTGTGGACTTTCGTTTGCTGTTTTGGAGTATATATTTGCATCATCCTGATGTTCCAGTTTGTTTTCATCAGTTACATCAACAGTAACATCCCTTTTCAGACCCTGACAACCACAATCCGTGCCCTGTGACTCCGACGACTGCTGTTCGAGCACAATGTCGCCTAGATCACTACGCACTGCTAAAATGCAGAGAAATAAAACGACAGAGCTGCTCAGTGTTGATGCCATAGCCAGTGTCAACTCTGCTCATGGTGAGAGTCATGTGATCAGTCAGCTGACATGTGTATCCGCTTCTTCTTCTTCTTCTTTAAGTTTTAACGGCAGCTTGCATTCTTGAAGTTGCATTACTGCCATCTTCTGGAATCAAATCCTCGTCATCAGTCTTGTATTTTTAAGGAAGCGGAACAGATATTTTCTTCCTTGACGTTTTCCGCCACATTCTAATATGTCCTTTAGTCCACTTCCAGTTAGTCCTACACTTTCCATTTCTTTTTATCATATTATTTCTCCCAGTTTCATATTTCCTACACACAGTAATCACATGCTCAACTGTTTCCAAGGTTTGACACTGATCACAGAATCCAGTTGGATGCTTCCCTATAATATGGAGTGTGCTATTTAATTTACTGTGTCCTTCTTAGTCTGTTCATTATTGTTTCCTCTCTCCTATTTCCCCCTTGCTTTCCACAATACCAATTCGTTTTTAAACAAGGATAGATGTCGTCCTTTTGTTTCTTGATCCCATTGCTTCTGCCATTCCTAATAACTCTTTCCCAAGCAATACTCTTCCCTTCTGATCTCGACAGCTTTATGTTTGTGTCTATAGTTACTATTTTAATGGCTAGTTTGGCTAATCTTGTAAAATCTCTAATTTCTCATTATTCCTTTATGTGCATGAATCCACATTAATACAGCCTCTGCGCCGTTCTGCTTAATTCTCAAGTAGGCTACCCAGTCAACACGTGAGATAATGCGATGATCACAGTGACATCACACGATCCTCATACTGTGATCCTCACGGTTTGAGTAGTATATGAAATCATTGTGAGTTCACACGATCCTCATACTGTGATCCTCACGGTTTGAGTAGTATATGAAATCATTGTGAGTTCACACGATCCTCATACTGTGATCCTCACGGTGTGAGTAGTATATGAGCTCATTGTGAGTTCACACGATCCTCATACTGTGATCCTCACGGTGTGAGTAGTATATGAAATCATTGTGACTTCACACGATCCTCATACTGTGATCCTCATAGTGTGAGAAATATATGCTCTCATTATGAACTCACACGATCCTATGTCCTCATATGAGGATGCAGGGTCTCAGGAGGCTAAAAGAATTCGCAAAATTCTAACCTTTCGTTGAAGTCAAACAACTGAAAGTGGGGGGGAACTCACATTATGAAGTAAATGTTTTTCTCCAATGCATGTTGGCTACCATTATTGGCACCCCTAGAAATTCTTATGAGTAAAATATCTCTGAAGTAAATTCCTATACATTTTTTTAGCACACCAGGGTGATTATGAACATTAAATTGTCCAGCCATGACTTCCTGTTCCACAGGATTATAAATATGAGGAACACAAAGGCCAAATTCCCTTAATCATCTATCACAAGGAGTAAAACAAAGAATATAGTTCTGATGTACAGAACAAGATAGTTGAGCTTCACAAAATAGAAAATGGCTGTAAGAAAATAGCTAAAGCTTTGAAAAATCCCCATTTCCACCATCAGGGCAATAATTAAGAAGTTCCAATCAACTAAAGATGTTACAAATCTGCCTGGAAGAGGACATGTGTCTATATCGTCCTGATGCAGTGGGGATGAGAGTTTGAGTGGCCAAAGACTCTCCAAGGATCACTGCTGGAGAATTGCAGAGAGTAGTTGAATCTTGGGGTCAGAAAGCCTAAAAAAATATATCAAACAGCACCTACATCACCACATGTTGTTCCAATGGGTTTCAAGAAAAAAAACTCCTGGCTCATCCAAAAACAAACTCCAGCATTTGTCAGACACGACTGGAACTTCAAATGGGACTGGCTTCTATGGTCAGATGAAACATAAAAAAGAGCTTTTTTATGCAGATGGGTTTGGTGCAAACAGGTATAAAAAGTACCCCATGTCCACGTTTAAATATACTGCTGGATCCATAATGATGTGGGCCTGTTTTCCTGCCAGAGGTCCTGGACGTCTTGTTCAGATGCATGGCATCATGGATTCTATCAAATACCACCAGATAAAACATCTGAACCTGACTGCCTCTGTAAGAAATCTTATAATGGGCCATGTTGGGATCTTCCATCAGGACAATGATCCAAAACAAACATTAAAATCAACACAAAAATGTGTCACTGAGCACAAAATGAAGCTTCTGCCATGGCTGTCTCAGTTCCCTGACCTGAACCCTGTAGGAAATGAGTGGGGTGAACTGAAGAGGAGAAGCACCATCATGGAGCTGGTATTCTGAAGGATCTGGAGAGATTCTGGATGAAGGAATGGTCTCTGATCTCTTGTCAGGCGTTCTCCAAAGTCATCAGGCATGAGGAGAAAACTCAGAACTTGGGAAAAGGACGTTGCAATAATTGGGTGCCAATAACTGTGGCTAACGTGAACTAGAGAAAAACATTTATTTCATAATGTGAGTTTCCACCACTTTCCATTGTTTTACTTCAATGAAAGGTTAGAATTTTGTACGTTTTTTGAATGAAAGATCAAAAGGATAAAGAATGCAGATTTATTTTCACAGCCACCTTTGCTCATATTTACCAAGGGTGCTAATATTAGTGGGCGCCACTGTATGTCCGACCTTCTCTGTTCTGTATTTTTAAAGGATTTTGGTCTGATTGTTCTGATGTGGACAGCTGCAGATAATCAGCAGGGCCATTAAATCTGACAAAATAGGAAGTTTTTCAAATGGCTTTCAAGTTTATTTATTTTTTTATTCACTATGGCGATGTCTAAACTTCTCTGGTCCATAGGCTAGAAAGCATTTTTGATGTGAACAGCAACATTCACACAGAGAGGTCACCAAATCTGGCAAGGCAGCATAACAGGTCACCAAAATCCGTTACCGAAATCTATTTCACATAGAATGCATTTAAAGTTATTCAAATTCACTCTGGTGATGTCTAAGCTTCTCTCTTCTATATTTTAGAAATAATTTTGGTCTGTTGTGAACTGCAACAGACAGGGTCACAGGATCCGACAAGCAGCATAGCAGCTTACTGAAATCTCTTTTTCACACAGAATGGATTAAATGTTATCCAAATTTACTTAGGTGATGTTTAAACGTATGTCTTCTGTATTTAGCGGGAGAGCATCGCGCTCCTGGCTGAACCCGCCCCTATGTTACAAAAACTGCCATGAGAAACTTGAAGGATAAAAAAGATACAAACTCAACGAGGAAGACAAAAATTTGTAATTTGGCCGGCGCTGATGTTTAATGCTGTTTAACGCAATAATTCACAACAATGTTAAGATGAAGTCAAGAAGAGGTCTGGTTCCCTTAGTTTAATCGTATTTAGGACACGCAGTTCATAAAATGACTGCTTTTCACAAATGCGTTTGCAGGATAAAGTTAATGTGTACATGCCTGGTCTCATTTCTGTCTTTTTCGTTTTGACAGTTCACAAGGGTAGAAAATTGAATTAGTTTCTGTTGTCAAGACGGACGATCTGCTGATGTTCAGCAGATAAGGGACAGAATCTGCATTACGCTTGCAATAGCATCAGATGAAGCTGCAATAGCCTACAAATATATATTTTTCATGTAATAACAAAGAACAGTTTTTGTATGCTTTTTGCTTTGTAGGTAGAAAGAAATTCACATGCAAATCCCTCCTCCGCACATCTCTCTCTCTCTCTCTCTCTCTGTCTCTCTGTCTCTCTCTCTCTCTCTCTCTGTCTGTGCATATTAACGGTTTGGTTGGCTAATCATTTGTTAATCAAATCTAGTAGTAACAGGAAGAATCTGTTGTGATGATACAGTCGTCAATGGAGTTACATAGAACTGACAGTACAGTATGCTCACAAATCCTGTTTCTTTTTGTCATACAGCAAACCTATTTCTTATCAGATGTGTCTTATCAGTACATTTCCATGTCTTCATGTCTTAATATGCTGGATAAACCACAATTTTTAAAGTGAACAAAGGGATGCTTGGGCTAGTACAGTATTTAAGTTTGAAAATGTGTGATACCATTTACAGAAATACTACGAGAGTAAATAATACAGTATCTATTTTCGAAATATTACATTATTAAAACAGAATAACTAATTTTAGATAACAAATTCATATTAGTATTATTATTTAGCACTTAGCTTCAAAGGAGTTGGCTGTTTTGAGTTATTTTAAATAGAATCCTTTTTTGTATTTATGTATTTTGTATTTTATAAGCATTCAAATTTATTTTGGTATGTTGGTACAGTATGTCAGTTGCAAATTTGACACTGAATGTTTATTTTTAGTATGGTATTCCAATGCACTGGACTTGGAATGAGTGTCCAGCCAGTTAAGTTAATAATTAACTTGCCAACTTGTAATTTGCTAGCTTCTGGTTATCACAACTCAGTGGAAGAATGAGATTTTGGGATAAACTTAACTGGATTTGAGAATTTGAAAAGTAATAATATAAATTTAGGATGGATTCAGCTTAAACTATAATAACAAAAGAATGAAGATGCAGCAGTCCGTTTTAGAGTCCTCATCTTGTTTGTCTTTCTTCACATCATGGGTTACCAATGATTGAATATTTGATATTTGATATCACATGTTGTTATTTAGTTCATGCATTGGGCCACTTGTGGTCTTAAGCCAATTTTGCGGTCTTTGAAGACATCAAATTGGTTTAGACATGAATATTCTTCCTTTGTTTTTGTGAAAACATTCTGTTTAAAAAGCTCTGCAGAGCTTTTATTTATTTATATATGTTCTATTTGAAAAAGTTCTGTTTTTGTATTATGTGCTATAGTGAATGACACTTCTAACCACACATCATACATATGTGTTGCTTTACTTTAGTAAATCTATAGGTCTTTTTATGGTTAGAGCTGCTGTTATGCTTGTTTGTTAATGATAAACCTGCACACAGACCTTGTCATGACCTCTAACCTCTGCAGGTGGTGGAGTGGTTGCCATGGTGGATAAAATGTCAAGTTTCCTGCACATTGGGGATGTTTGCTCCCTTTATGCTGAAGGCTCTACCAGTGGCTTCATAAGCACTCTGGGGTGAGTTGATTGACACTCCCTGTTATGATATAATGAAATAGCATGTTCATAAACTTTAATTGAAAGCGGATATTTTGAGCAGGACATTTCAAATTAATTTGTTCCAAGAGTGATTATTACAGCAAATAAATGATTAACAAGCAGAACCAGCTCATTCATTAGAGGTCCACATACTCTTTTTCTATTAATTCCTCAACATTAACCCCCCTCTGCTTTCTGCTGACAAAAATCTTAAAGGAATACTTCACCCCAAAACAATTGCCATCATTTACTCACCCTTGTGTTTTTGAAAACTTGTATGATTTTCTTACTTTCATGGAACACAAAAGGAGATGTTTAGCAGAGTGGAAAAACTACATATTTTTGACCCTCTTCATTAAACAAACCTATGATGAGACTTTTGATATAGTGTCTCCATTTATTGTAAAAAAAATCAACTAGTACAAAAATTTCTCCTGTTGTGTTCTTTGGAAGAAACCAAGGTAATACAGGTTTGGAACAACAAGAGGATGAGTACATTTTCACAGATTTTTAATATTTGGGTGATCAAACCCTTTAAAGATCAAGATGACATAAAGTCTGCTGTGGTTGAATGCTAATCTTTGATGTGTAAATAAGAATAACCAGCTGTCAGCAGTTTAACCCTGTGTGTGTGTGTGTGTCTGTGTTTTTGGCTGACTGGTCGTGGAATTTGGACTATGTCCAGTAAGCTGCTGCTTTGGGCCAAAAAAGGCTAAATACAGGCGCACGCTCACAAGTGCACACCATTATTTACACACTCAAATGCGCAGATGCACAGACAAACCAAAAGTACAAACATCTATAGAGTAACACTCTCGTTTGTTTCAATCAGGTTGGTTGATGACCGATGTGTTATCCAACCAGATGCAGGGGACCTGAACAACCCACCCAAGAAGTTCAGGGGTGAGCAGTTTGTGTGTGTGTGTGTTTGTGTGGATGTTACGCTGGTTTATTTTCAGTTAAGACAGGAAGTTTAGTTACTTAAACTGGGCTTTGAAGTCAAAGGTCACACGTACCCTAGAGAAAAGTTTATTATTTCCATGAAATCCACTTAATTTAGCAAGTCATCCTTCATTCTTTGGTATTAATAAACCATTGTAGTCCAAAGCTTGTATTGTATTATTGTCAAACAAATCTTTGAACGCATAAATCAGTGTCAAACAGTCTGATCTCATTTCTATGGACGTTTACTTTGCTGTGGAAATTGTTACCAACACAGAACGTGCAGATCTACTTAGTTAAAGGACTTGAAAAATGATTGTACTTCAAAGGCTGCTCTCAAGATTGTGTGTGGTTGAGGCCCTCTAAACTCTAAAATGCATCTGCTGGTGACACTGAGAAGCGACATCAGGAGTTGGTATGTGAGTGAGTACATTTATACATCGGTGTGTGCTGGTTTTCATCACTAGTTAGCTACTGAATATTAAAGGAATAGTTTGTCCCATAATGAAAATCCTGTCATAAATTATGCATCCTCAAGTTGCTCAAAACATACATTTTACACTTTTTTCCAAGATTTTACACTTTATTCCAAGTCCTCTGAAGCTATCCACCTTATTTTTCAATGCGGAAGCAAGCCGTTTTCTGTAAATGGTCGAGACTTCCGGTTCATTAGCTGTAGAGAAATAACGAGAAGAATAACAAAGTGCAGTAAACGGTAAAACTGTTTGCACCACAAACCAGTGTGTTCATAATTAAGATAATACATTAAAATAATATGGTAAGACACTCTAGTTTGCAATATCAAGCAACAAGCTGTTTTGCCACACCTGCTCTTATGGGAAAAATAAGGTTAATCGGTTTTTTTTTTTTGAGGAAAAGACAGAAATTAAAGAAATTCTCTTAAATTTTATACTGAGTTGTGCATATACAAACCTCACATCATGAAATACACTCAAGTGTAATTTGGGGTCGGTATGATTTTTGAAGGAAGTCTAATATGCTCATTAGGCTGCATTTATTTGATTAAAACAGAAAAAAACAGTAATACTGTGAAATGTTATTACAATTTAAAATATTACACTTATTTTTTTAATACATTTTTTAATATATTTTAAAATGTAATTTATTTAATAATAAATTATTTCCTGTTTTTCTGTTTTGAATAACATTAGGAACTATACCTTTAACATTGATCTATTTCTCTATCGAATGCATTTATCTAAATAACTCAACCCTCCTGATAAATAAACCCTGCACAATGTGCTTGAGTCTGTGATGAAGGGAGGGAGAGAAAGAGAGATAAGTCTGTTAGTCAGTGGGCCCCATTAGAGAGGAATGCGTACTATTTCCTTAAAATATAAACACACACCAAAGCAAAATGGAAGCATGTGATGGTTCGTTTTCTATTGTTATTATTTCATGAATATATTTATTTTGTTTGGGTAAGCATTCATTTCAAATTTAAGATTGGCTTCTGGCAGATGATAAATGAGCAACATAGACTGGCATTGAAGGAGGGGCCTGAGCTACATCATAGTGGCTTGGTGTGAGGAATCTTTTAACTTAACCAGTACCAGTAAGCAACACCCTGACAGCCACCCATAACACCATTGTATTAACATTGTGAGCATTGTAGCAGCAACTTTTAACTCAGGAAAAATTTGAAAAAATATTGTCCGATTTTTTTGTAATCGGACACTCCTAAACACTGTTGTTTTTATGTGAGAGTGTGTTCTACATTCCTCCAATGACCCCAGAGCTTTTTGGTGTTTTATCAGCCCAACAGTGACCAGATTCTCTCTCTATTTCTCTCTCTCTGTCAGTCTGTCTATCTTTGACTCCCCCTCTCTCCTTATTTGGTAAGACTGGAGTTCTCCTGGAAAGAAGAAGTGCATTTTCACTTTTATGCCTGTAGCTCTTTTCTTATCACTTTTGAAAATACTGTCAGTGTGTGTTTTCAGTCATGTTACATCCTCCTGTATTTACGCTTATTTTTTAATTAAGCTCTGTTAAAAATGTTAGAAGTTTTTTTGCATCTGATAGGCTAGTCCTTTTCTAACAGTTATACACATGTACACTCAAACCACACAGACACAGAGTTTACCTCTTGATTTTCATACTGATTTCCTTCTTTACCATTTATGATCACGTTGTCCTCATCAGCAGAGTGTGTCTGAAATACAGTGAATGTGTGTATGTGAGGTGTTCTATTTGTCTGTGCTGGGATGAAATGTATGTTCCCTCTTTCTCTTTCTCTCTCTCTCTGTAGACTGTCTGTTCAGACTGTGTCCCATGAACAGATACTCTGCACAGAAACAGTTCTGGAAAGCTGCCAAACCTGGAGGAACCAGCACCACAGAGACTGTTCTGCTCAACAAACTCCATGTGAGTGCGAAGCTTAGTCTTTCCCTAAGCGTGAGTTGTTTGTTTATATTAATATTGGGAATTCCACTCGCTACTTCAGAATAACACTGCCCGTAATGCTGGCCTAGAATTAGTATCCACACCTCAAATGATTAATAAAAATTCATTTCCAAGAACAGGAACTGTTAAACATTAAATAATTTTGATTTATGTGTTTTATTTCATGACAATATACTGCTATTTGTGAATGGCTGTCAATAGAGAAAGATTCATCATCATCCATCCACCAGCAGAGGCTAACAGGGCCTGCTAACCTTCCAAACCTTGAGCTCTAAAACTTATTTACTCTTGAGAAATTCAAAAATTACCTTAGATCACTGGAAACTTCATCTTACACTGTTTGCGGTATTTATGTATAAAGAAAATTGATCGGATTAATTTGTATTTAGTAGATTATGGTTGCATCAAAAACAAGTTCATCCAAGAATGTAAAATATTCCTTTACAAATTTCTTCAATATCCTCATTTAAATCAATACACATTTATTATATTAGTTGCCTACCATGCTTATAAAAACAAATCATGCTTAATTCAGCTGGATAATTATCAAGTTGATGTAAGTTATTTATGTGATTGCTTGGCTAAATTAGTCAACCTCCTAGACTTCATGGCTTCAGCCTGCAGTTGGTTCACTCTGCTTATGACCTTATATAAACACAGAATGAAGAAAAGTTGCTGACAATTAAAAAAAGATGTGCTTGTAAATGAAACAGATTGTGAAGAATGCTCTGTGGGCCATCTGAACAATGTTACAAGACATCATTCTAGAGAGCAAAGTTTGTTTACTACTCAACAGCCTCTTTTTTGGAGGACGGTTCAGCAAGTTCAGTATATTTATCAACTTCTTTGAAGCTTCCTCAGATGTTCTGAAGAGCTATAGTCACTGCACATGCTTACGTGGGTTTCTGGTGTTCATGTGGGAAATACAGGTTTGTGCCAGGCCTGCAAGATCACAAATGTTTTAATTTTTCTCTGATTCTTTTATTTGTCACGTTATATTTTTTTAGCATGCTGCTGATTTAGAAAAGAAACAAAATGAATCGGAGAACAAAAAGCTTTTAGGAACAGTCATTCAGTATGGCAATGTCATCCAGGTAAATCTTTCACAAACACTGTGTAATACAGAACATTTAATATGTAGAAATTCAGACTATTTACCCGTCAAATAAATTGTGTAATTGTTCACGCACATTTGCAGCTTCTCCATTTGAAGAGTAATAAGTATCTGACGGTAAATAAGCGTTTACCGGCTCTTCTTGAGAAGAACGCCATGCGTGTAACCCTGGACGCTGCAGGGAATGAAGGCTCATGGTTCTACATCCAACCCTTCTATAAGCTCCGCTCTATTGGAGACAATGTGAGTATATCGTCAACCTCTGCAAAACAGCCACTGTAATCTTGATTATTAATTTGATTCATTGGGCAGTCCTGCTTCTTGCACTTACATAAACACCAATTAGAGTTACACTTGTAATGTTCTGTGTGTTAATGTGTTTTTCAGGTGGTCATTGGAGATAAGGTTG